AACAACTTTATTCAACAATTTCTTTTCCGTGTCAGATTTCGATGCGTGTTCACGAGAGTACCATGACTCATGCGTGTGGTGCTGCTGACGCAGGAGCCGGCGTTCTGACGTAGAACCCGGTTGTGCTGTGCCTTGTTTGCAAAGAGGAATGTACACGCATGCGTCGTGGTACTGTCATGAACGCACGTCGAATTCTGACATGGAAGAGAATTGTTGAATAGTTATTTTTGTTTTCTTTGAAAATTACGGTTGAACCACTGATGTCAGATGGACTATTTTAATGATGTCCTTACTAACTTTCTGGGCCTTGAACATTACAGTTGCGTTGCCGTCTATGCCGGGTCAGAAAGCTCTCGGATTTCATCAAAAATATCTTAATTTGTGTTCTGAAGATGAACAAAGGTCTTATGGGTTTGGAACGACATGAGGGTGAGTAATTAATGACAGAATTTTCATTTTTGGGTGAACTATCCCTTTAACTTCATTTTCCTTTAAATACCCATAACCATGAGCTGTTATCTGTGTGTATTATTGTAGATGACGGAAGGAGAAATCAAGTTCGCAGTGCACGTGGAGTCTGTACTGAATCATGTCCCACAGCCTGAGTACAGACAGCTGCTGGTGGAATGCGTCAATGCAAAACAAAATGTAATTCTGCTGTGAAGCACCTCTAAAAAGAGGACAATAGTAAACAGTAAATTTTTCAGTTAAAGTTTCATCGTTCATTCTAGGGCTGTGCAATTAATCGTCAGTAAAGCCGGTTCCGTGATTAGTAGTAAATCGGCATCACCTGCTTTCAGATGGAGCGGCATTTAATACACAGAGCCGTAGTTCACTGACAAGCAGATATTGCCTAATTGTCAGTGAACTATGGCTCTCCCTGCGTTCCATTCAGAAGGGCTCATCCCAATGCCCTAATCCCTTCAAAGGGTTTACTCTCCAGAGTGAGAGCTTTGAAGGGTTGAAAGGTGTAGGGGACCAAACAAGTGAAGTGCCCTTCTGCGTCGTCATCACGTGCCCACACGGAGGCACCGTCATCATGCAAAGAAACATGGGATCATGGGAGCCTGAAGTGTCCATCAGTTGTACCCTTCGAAATCCTTCATTTCGAAGGGCCCTTTGAAGTGGACAGTTTTGAGGCCTTCGGATTGGAACGACCCTTCAATATGGCGGCC